TAATATAACTAAAATAATTCAAACCAAAACCTTTATTATCCTTGGCAAACCAGATTTTCAAACTTGTTACTTCTTTGCAATTTTTGGGGGAACAGAGCATTAAACAAAGGGCTTTGAAGCACTGTACCATTTGAGCCATGGCTCCAGTCCTTGGTACTCTAGGGTTTTTTTTGGGGGGGAAGGGGTTGGAAGGGTTTTCTGCCAAGCCTGGGACTTGAACTCTGGGCCTGGGTGCTGTCCCTGAGCTTTTGTGAGTTAACACTTGAGCTATAACTCCACTTCTGGCTTATTTTTTGTAGTGTTTGTTGTTGTCTGTTGTGGTGCTTGAACTCTGGGCCTGGGCACTGTCCCTGAGCTCTTTTGTATAAGGCGAGAGCTCTACCACTTGAACCACAGTACCACTTCCGGTTTTCAGATCATTTATTGGAGATAAGAGTCTCACAGGGGCTGAGAAGGTGGCTCAGCTATAGAGTGCTTGCCTTGCAGGCATGAGGCCCTAGGTTCCATTCCTCAGTACCACACACAAAGAAAAAGCTGGAAGTGGGAACTGTGGCTCAAGTGGTAGAGCGCTAGCCTTGAGCTGAAGAGCTCAGAGACAGTACCCAGGTGCAGAGTTCAAGCTCCATGACCAGAAAAAAGAAAAAAAAAAGTTTCACAGACTTTGCTGCCCCAGCTGGCTTTTTTTTTCTGTTGTTGGGGGGGGGGGGGCTGGTCGTGGAACTTGAACTCTGGGCCTGGGTGCTGTCCCTCAGCTCTTCAGCTCAAGGCTAGTGCTCTACCACTTGAGCCACAGTGCCACTTCCAGTTTTCTGATGGTTAATTGGAGATAAGAGTCTCAAGGACTTTCCTGCCTGGACTGGCTTTGAATCAAGATCTTCAGATCTCAGCCTCCTGAGTGGCTACAGGTGTGAGCCACTGGCGCTTGGCTTTTTTTGGTAGTTTTAGTTGAGTCTCACAGACTTTCTGGCCCAGGCTGGTTTCCAACCACAATTCTCAGATCTCAGTTTCCTAAGTAGCTAGGATTACAGGCACGAGCCAGTGGTGCCCAGCATCTCTGGTTATTCTTGAGACATTCCTGGGCCAGACTGAAACACAATCCTCCCCTTTATGCTTCCTGCTGCAGCTGGGATGATATGCATACCATACTCAGCTTTTTCTGTTCTGATGTAGTTTAATGAAATTTTTTGCCCTGCCTGGCCTGAAACCAAGATCCTTCCTATCTCAGCCTCCCAAATAGCTGGAAAAGACAGGTGTGTGCCACTGTGCTCAGCTATTAGTTGACATATGGTTCCTCAAATCTTCTGGCCAGACTGGCCTTGAACCACAATCTTCCCAATCTCCACCTCTCTAGCTAAGGGTTAAAACCTTCCTTTCAGATACTAAAATTTTAACAAATATACAACTAGTGTTAGCTAAATGATTAGGAAAGATGGAGTTTATATTGGTAATTTCTCCTAAAGTTATCCTTCTCTAAAAACATCTAAGGTCACCTGTGCATAGTACTCCCAGCTACTCCAATGGCTGAAGCAAGAGGATCAATTGAATACAGGATTTCAAGACCTGTACTGGCAGCAAACAAGACCAGCACTCCCATCTCAAAAAAAGAAAACAAAACCTGGCTGGATGAGGTCGGTCACACCTGTAAAGCTAAGCTACTCAGGAGGCAGAGAGCAGGCGGATCATTCCAGAGCTGAAACTTTTTTCCCTTCTGATTTTCACCTACAAAATTTATAGCTAGGGCTGGGAAGGTGGCTCAGCGGTAGAGCGCTTGCCTTGCATGCATGAGGCCCTGGGTTCGATTCCTCAGCACCACATAAGCAAAAAGAAAAAAGCCAGAAGTGGCGCTGTGGCTCAAGTGGTAGAGCGCTAACCTTGAGCTGAAGAGCTGAGGGACAGCGCCCAGGCCCAGAGTTCAGGCCCCACAACCGGACCCAAAAAAAAAAATTTATACCTACCAACCTATACCTGATACCACAAGTTTGAGCCAGAAATCCAGCTGCCTTTTGGCCATTTACACCTGAAGGAACAGCCACCCAAACTCAACCAACAGAACCCCCATATCTTTCTTTCATGACAAAATTAAAACAAAATTTCACTCTTCCTTCATGTGGCTTCCCAGCTCAGAAAAAGGCACAGCTAGAAATTTGTTTTGTACTCTATACACTCTTCTACCCCACTTCAAGTTCAAACAGTCAGCCTGTCAAATACCAACACTTAAGTTACTGTCATTCACCTGGACTGCCTTCACAAAGCCTGTTTAAACCTTCTTTTATCTACCTATTTGCTACAGCCAGCAGATTTTAAAAATAAAAATCAGATCTTTTCAGCCCCTACTTCAAATCCTTCAATGATTTATCTGATAAGTTTTAAGTCATTATGAAAACTAATGACAGCATTGAAGTTCAGAGGCTCAGTGAAAATAGGAGGAAGTGGAGCTGTGGCTTGAAGTGATAAGAGTACTAGCCTTAAGCCAAAGAGCTCAGGGACAGCTCTCAGGCCCCAAGTTCAAGTCCCACGACCGACAAAAAAAAAAAAATAGTAATTTTTGAGGGATATTCACTGCAAAAGAATCATTAGGAATTTTTCAAATTAAGAAATGTACTTAAATACACACAGAACAGCTTACATATATTTAATGTATGTGGTACTACTTGTTAAAGCCAAGCTGAAAATAACCTCAGGTCTGTCAAAATGGAATACTATCCAGCTCATAAGTGATGTAGAATTAAGTGAAAAAAGCAAGCTATATACACTGTATAGTATGCGACCACCTGTATGTGGTGTATGTGTCTTAGTACAAGCCTAGGCTGGAAACATCCCAAGGATGATTCAGGAGAAACAGTGCTTGCTCTACAGAAAGAAAGTGGGTGCTGGAGGACGGAGAGACTTGTACATTACTCTTCTGAACCTTTTGACTCTGTCTACTTAATACCTATAATTTCAAAACGATTTTCTCCCTGCTCTGTTACACACACACAAAGTTAAAAAAAAAATACCGATTACAAAGACCTTTTTACCTTTCACCCCTGCATCAATGTTAAAAGTGCCCTGTCCTTTGTTGTAACATGACATCCTTCTTGACATCTCAGAGGTACAACTTCAGCCATTTTCTTCAACATTTTACAACTATTAAGAAAGCTGTAGGTAGTTACATCAATGAATACGGTGTGATTTCTTTTACCTGTCTGTTGGAGAAGACAGCAGCACTAGAACAGAAAATTAAAAGGAAACTGACCTGTTGGAAGATAGGAGGAACTACAAATCACGTTTTTCTAACAAGTTCAAAAAAAAAATTCAAAATCAAGTCTCTTGTATACTACAAACGAGTGCAAAATATCATTAGAAATCTCTAAAGCCATGAAGTAGATGGCACTACATGGTGACATTCACTAGTGTAATGTGATGTGAGGCTTACAGAAGCCTCTAAAGTGTCAGATTTGCACTCATTTCACTGGTTCTACCCAAGAGACAAGATGATGAACAGAAGGCTCTGTGATCTTACAAAGATCTCACACTCTCACTAGAACACACACACTCCCTCCCTCCCCCCCCTCGTTTAAAAAAAAAAACCCCACAAGCCCAGGTGCTCCAAACACGGGAGGGAGGGGGTATTTTGGAAGGCCCCCTTAAGCCCCACTGGGGGTAACACACCAAACTGACTGACCACATATCCCCACCAAAGTTCCTGCCAAATCTCTTTCAACAACAACACACACACCGAAAAAAAAAAAAAAAAAGACGGCCAAAGTGTGCTTGAGATCTGCCAGAGAGGGTCCAAGGGGTAAAAGAGAGGTGGACCTCAGGCTACAAAGGGTGAGGGAGATGGGCATTTCACGGGCAGATCCCAGGATATAAGGGGTGAGGGAGAGCCCCGCGCGTGTGATGGGCATCTCAGGGGTGGACACCCCCCCCCCCAGATCCCAGAAGGTAAGAGCGCATCAGGCCGCGTACAGGCGTCGGTGGGAAAAGATCTGGCGGCTTCGGGGCGGTGGGGTGGGGGAACTCCTTTAGCAGACGGGCCAGGGCAGCGCGGATCTAAGGGATCCCCTGGACTCTCCGGTCACGGGGGGGATCAGGGGGCGGCCGCGGCTGTCTCCGGCCGTGGCCAGACGTAACGGGAGTCCTGGGGGACCGGCGGGGTGCGCGGGCTGCGCGGGCTGGGGAGACCGTGACTCGACCGCCGCACAGGCCGGTGTCTGGCCAATGGCGACGCTGGGGTGGGGTCTCCGGGGTGGGGGGCGCTCGGG